ACCCACAGCGCGCTGCTCCCGCGCCGCGCGCGCTCCTCGCCGCTCCGGAACACAGCGAGCACAGCCACCGGGAAGCGCGTCCACGCGCCGTGCGCCTCACCGCGCGCGCCCACAGCCACCTGCACGGCTGCGGGGAGGGAGAGAGGGGCGGGGTCAGGCGGGGGGCGGGGCCGCGCGGTGGAGCACTGGCCGCCCACAGGGAGTGGGGCATAGAGAGGACACCTACCGGAGGGGGCCGCAGGGGGTGTAGACAGGCCCCACGAGGGTCAGGATATACAAAAGGAAGTGAGGAGGCAGGAGAAGCAGGTGGCTCCGGGTGACCTACCATAATCCTTCCGGCAAAACTTCTTCAGGCTGATGCGGTAGCTGCCCGGGGTGGGTTTGCAGTGGGCATCGCAGTCTGGGGAAGGGGGGGAGGCTGGCACGGCTCCCCACTGCCCCCTACCTGCACCCTCTCCTCCTCCATCCCTTGAACCCATGCCCCTCTCCCAGAGCCCCCAGTCTGGGCCCCTGGTCCGTGTCCTCTCACCCTGGGGCTCTACAGGGCTGCTCTCTTCAGTGGGCCCGGTGGCAGGTGTCTCTGCGGAGAGGGTAGGAGAAGGCCTGCGATGGGGTGGGGTGGTGTGCTGCAGGACACAGGGGAGGTGGCAGCAGAGGGGCTGTGGGTGGTGGCAGCTGGGGAGGCCAGGCAGGGTCACTCACTGACGCAGGGCGCCACAGGAGAACGGCTCTGCTGGAAGCCCGGGGCACAGCGGTTGCAGGTGAGGCCCGTGACACCGTCCTTGCAGGGACACTGGCCTGTGGTCTGGTTGCAGGTTTTGCCGGCAGCCCCAACCGGGTGACAGTCACAGGCTGAGAGCAGAGGTGGGAGGAAGGGCCCGGTCAGTCCTGGGCTTGGCAGAGGCCCAGCTTGGGGGACGGGGAGCAAGAGGGCCAGGCAACGGGGGGCTCACCCCTGCACACGCGGCGGTCACTCAGGGCACGGCCCGAGTCTCTGTAGAAGCCCTCCCTGCAGTAGTGGCAGTGCCGGCCTGCGGTGTTGTGCCGGCAGTTCAGGCAGACGCCCCCACTTCGACGACCAGACAGGCGGTACAACTCCATGTTGAAGCGGCAGCGGTGGGTGTGACCATTGCAGGAGCAGGCTGCAGGGAGGGACCGCGTCAGGGGTGGGCCAGCTGGGTCTCAGTTCCCCAGGCCACCCTCCAGGGCCTCACCAAGGCAGGCGTGGGCTTCCCTGGCGGTGGCCCGCTGCCACGGCCTGTCGCAGTAGAAGGGTTTGCAGCGGCCGCAGTCGGGGCCCTCAGTGCCGTGCCGGCAGTCACAGACCAGGCGGCTCTGGGCGTCCAGCAGGCACCTCGAGGCGTGCCCATTACATTTGCAGCGCCCGCCCACCTGGAGCTCAGTGGCTGAGTAGGCATAAGGGACCACAGCCTCGGAGTCCCTGGTGTCCTCCAGCATGGCAGGCCTGGTGAGTACCACGCGGATGTCTGTGGCGGTCACCCAGTCCTGGAGCACTGGGCTGCTGTCCAGATCCAGGCCTGGCGGGCTGCCATCCTGGACACTGAAGGCCAGGAGGCCGCCACCATCCTGCTGGGCCTGGGGTTCTGGGAAGCACAAGGCCTCAGGCCCGGGTCCTGCCGGGCCAGTGGCAGGGATGGGCAGGCGACCGTAGTCTAGGCCGCAGAGTGAGGAGAAGAAGCCAAGTGGGGCCCAGCTGCGGCCATGATCCTGTGACTTGAGCAGGGCCACCGAGGCTGGGGGCCGCGAACAGAAGCGGAGACTCACGAAGACCAGCTCGAAAGCCTTGCCCAAGGGCACCGTGAGGGTCACGTTGAGAGGCACCCGCACCAGCGAGTCGGAGCGCCAGCAGAGGGGCCCCGCCGTGCCTCCTGTCGCCGTCAGGAGGGCAGCGGGGTGTGCCCGCCGCGGGTCGGAGGCGTCGCAGGCCCGCGTGGCC